CCTCACAAGCCTGTTATGTGCTTCAACACCTACAACCTACTACACAGGTTCATTGTGGCATCAGTGGAGACAAAGGGTCCATCAATGTGACAGGCACTCCAAGTGTGTGCTTGTTGTTAGGATGGTGACTAATTACGACCATGGAAGACTCAGACAGTCAGCATCCATTGCCTTTTGGGGGTATGATGTAGGGAGCACAGTGACCTTCTCCCTGGGAGTTTCCTAGTGGTTCCAGGATTCTAGGATTCAAGGGACCTATTTCCAGAATTCTAGGATTCAAGGGGCCTATGTGAGAAAAGTGATTTGGTTCTTAAAATGCATTTGTTGTACCTTGGAACAATTCAGATTGATGGCTTATAATAGGATATAAGAATTAGTGAATTCTTTAATTCCACTAGGAATTCATTCTCCCAAACAATTTATTCTTGCCAATCATAAGTCATAGCATGTTGGAACTGGAAGTAGCTCTGAAAGAAACTGGCCTCCTTATTCTGGGGCAGACTGGGACCCACTTGTCATGTCAGCTAACATCAGGTGTCATTTAAAGGCTTATTATCCCCATCCCAACTGCTCTTCTGTTTCTCTCTTGGTCATTATCTTTCTCTCTCTCACACACACCATTGAATAAGACTCCTTATAGTTAATAATTTAGGCTAAGCCATTGGATGTTACCAATCCATAGGTGAACAGAGTCTGAACATGTAATACAGCCAGGGTGAATTTGTATGTGAGTGTGTGTGTGTGAGTGTGTGTATATGTACAAGTCCTGCAGAAGAATGCTGCAGGAGAATGCTGGGAAAGCCGACAGACAAAAAGAATGAGGCTCTGGAGGAACAGGGTAACTCCCACTGGCCTCACCTACCTCACTGGGGCTCGTAGCACAATCTTTTCCCCTTGGAAAATTCCTGATCTGGATTCCACACACCTTTCCTGATGAAACCCAGTCCCAGTGAGACCAGGAGGATGGCATCATGAGTGCTCACAGTTGTGTATGTCTTCCTTTTGCCTCACAAATGCCTCATCCTTCAAGACATTAAAAGGAGACATCTCTGAACTCTGACTTCTACAAGGTCTTTTCAGACACATGTCCTTCCATTATAGAAATTAGAAAAAAAATCAGACAAATAACTTCAAACCACATTAGATAAATACCACAAGCAGCAGTAATAGAACAATCATGAGCAATTTGAAGACTGCCAGGCACTAAAAGAAAATGTCTAAGTCAGGGAGGTGTCTGTATGGGAAAATGCAAAATGAAATTATTTCATTCTGCTTCTCTCACACATGGATTTGTCTCCTGAGCCTCATAAGTGCATTATCTCATTTGACAAAAAAGTGTCAGCAAGTGTAGTGCAAAGTTTAAAGCATAAAAGAATTGCATTTTGGAGAGAAAGAGCAAAATTTGATATTGTCATAGCTGTGGCTAACCTTTTTTTTTCAAATGAAATATATCCTTTGGACTTTATTAAGTTTGATGACCTGGGCTGCCATCATTCAAAAGTGGAGAGACCAGGTGGAGGTTGGGGTCTTTGGATAGGATCTTATTGCTATCATCCCTCTGATGTGTATGCAGAAGTTGGTGCTTGCCAGTGGGTTTATTTATAAGCCTCTTCTTCTTCTGCCTCTGCCTTGCAGGCTAGCATCCTCTGCCTGGTCATTACACACAGCCAGCTTCCTCTCATGGGTTGACATCACTGGGATCATATGCATCACTAATAATGACACTGAGTGTCTGTGGGTCAGGAGGGCTCCGGGGAGCCAGCCATCCAGTGCTCCATGCTACATTTGCAGAGATAATATTGTTTTTAGTGAAGGTTATTCAGCTGCCAAGCAGCCCCATTTTTTTCTTTTTTCTTTTTAAGAATGACCCTTCCCCTAGACCACAGAGCTTAGCAGTAGGAGAATGGTAGGTGGCCTGGATTATTGATGTGTAGAGGGTTAGGAGGAACCCCTGTGCTGTGGTGGATGGCTGGTGGCATCTGGCTGGGCTGTGTAGAAAGTAGCATGGCTCTGGCATTTGCTGGTTCCATGTGGACATCACAATGTGTGAGGCTGGGCAGCTAGCAGAAGACGCCTCCTTCAAAGACTTGTCATGCTTGACCCCATGAAGCTGTGCTGTGTGTGCACAGGATTCAGGGATAAACAGACACAGCAGGGGAGGACAATTGTCCATCAGAATCCAAGGGCACCAAGAGCCCAATCTAAAAGCTTTGGCCTCAGCCATTCCCCCCTAGGACCTGGTCAAATCCAACCTCTCTGCAGAAGTGATGGAACCAGGATGGACAGCGTCTTATTGCTTTCCAGTGTGGGAAGGAGCAAACTTTTCTGAGCTAAGCAATGAGGGCAGACATGTCTTGGGAGCCTCTCAGCCTGAACCAGTCTGTTTCTGATTGGCTTCCAAGTGAGGCCTTCTGGTCACCAAGTTCCCTCAGGTCGAATGTGTGAAGGGTGTGGTTGGTGTACCCTGGTTACTCTTCCCTGTTCCTTTGCTCAGTGCTTTGAATGGAAGGACTCACAATTCCAGGCAAAAGCTGTGATGTGTGCTGAATTGCCAGGGATCTGGTCAGCTCCGGAAAACAGGGCCAATTCCTGATGGTCGAGTCCATGCAGTGATTAGACGTGAGTTGCTTTTGCTTTAGAGTAGCCTAGACATACCAGATCCACAGCATGCAAAAGCATGAGACATAATGACTTCCTCCATTCACCTTTGCTCTCACACCCATGGACCACACATGTATGTGCAAACACCACACCACACTTACACACAGAACACACATACCATACAACCACACGTATTGCATACTGCACATTCACACAATACACACATATGCTCAGCATACCCACCACACACACACACACACACACACACACACCACACACACACACACACACACACACACACCTAATACACACATACCACATACCCACCACACACACACACCTAATACACACACACACAATACACACATACCACATACCCACCACACACACACACACCTAATACACACACACACACACAATACACACATACCACATACCCACCACACACACACACACACACACACACACACACACCTAATAAACACATACCACATACCCACCACACACACACATACACACACAGACACACACACACCTAATACACACATACCACACACACACACACACACACACACACACGTCTTTTGGATAGTAAATTGGTATTGCATTGGCAATACTTAGAACTATTAAGGCAGGTCCAATTACTATGGAGGTTTGTCTTTGAATAGTTTGTGAAAATATAGTTTTCTAAATAAATTAACAGCATCTATACAAAGGGAGAAAAACAAGTTCACTGGTCAACACTGAGTTTTCCCAAGCATTTCAAAAGCCTTTTAACATATGCTAAACAATTAAAAGTTATTTACACCTGTAAGTTTCTACCCATTAACCAGTAAAGTGAATGAGGGGAAAACACATTAATTATGAGTTTTGATCATTAGCCAATCTTGATGGAGTATTTCCTATGTTCTATGACCTTGCCTTTCTCCAGCTCCACAATTCAGGTTGTTCACTGTCTCTTGCAAATGAGCACAAGGCTCCGAGAAGTGAAATTCATGGCCCAAGTTTGTATGGTTCACATGTCCAAGCATAAGGTAAGCGTGCCACTGTTTAACCTTTACCCCAAGCGAGGCTCCTACTTTCTTGACTATGCTGGTCTCAGGAAGGGGTCCTTGTGCTGGTGTTTCAGTGGGAGAAAAAACTTCTTAATGGTTCGGGGAATTTCTCAGTCCTCAGGACAGAATAGTAACTACTTTCCAAAGGTGCTAGATTATACTGTTCTCAGCTCATTGTAGTTGAAAAGGGGGCCCATCTGTTAGGTGATATTAAAGTGCAGAGGTACTAAAATGGCTTGGAGTGTTTTGGCCTCCTCTTTTAAATGCTTGACAATACGCCTCAAGGGAGAGGAGAGAATAGTGCAACCCAAATCTCCCAGAATCCTCTCTCTCTCTGTCTTCTCTCTCTCTCTCTCTCTCTCTCTGTCTCTCTCTGACTCTGTCTCTCTCTCTCTCTCTCTCTCACACACACACACACACACACACACACACACACACACACACACACACACTATTCTGGGCTCTCCTTATTGATCTGAGCAGAAAAGTCTGCTCAGCCTCCCTTACTTAAATCAGTTATTTTACTTTGGCTTTGCTCCATTTCATGCACCAGAAATGTTTTGAGAGGGAGGGTCTAGTCCGGTTCTTTCCTTGTTAAATAATTGTACAAATAGTGTTCTAAGACACGATTGTCATTTTTATTCTTTCATTTTTCTGTTTGAAGAGTTAAATAAAGGAAAGAGAGGGGATGGTCTAAGAAAACAGCCTTATTTCCTACAATCTCTGGAGTTGTCAGTCACACAGACATCACTGATAGTTGACTTTCCCCAAGATAATGATGGGACTCTGGGAGAAGATAGGACTATAGGTGAGGATGGAACCAGGTGAGGGTAGAACTCTAGGTGACAGTAGGAGTTCAGGTAAACCTGGGACTGCAGGTAAGGATGAGACTCCAGGTAAGAACGGGGATGTAGGTGAAACTAGAATTCCAGGGAAGGACAGGACTTCAGGAGTGTACGGGATTCCAGCTGAGGATGGGGCTGAGATGGAGCTACAGGTGAGTGTGGAGCTACAGGTGAGGATGCAGTTCCATATGTGTGAGACTCCAGGTGAGGATGGGGATGAGTTTGATCCTATAGCTGAGGATGCTGAGAAAGGATGCAGGTAATGATGATCTCCAGGTGAACATGGGATTCTAGTTATATCCATGAGGACATAACTATGTGTGAGAACATGTCTACAGAGACATGTTTCTTGAGAGAATAGGAGCAGAGCCTCCTGCTATGGGGAAAACCAGACAACCCATCCCCAGTGGCTCCAAAGGACTCAGTCGTTGGGGGACAGTGGGAGACACCCCTCATTGAACAGGGATTCTCCATACTTTGGGGAAGGGGAGATGCTTACTTAGATTGTCTTCATCCTCCGTGTTTGTGGTGCCAGGACTTAGGTACTTGAAGGGAGCGAGGAAGGTTGACAATATGCTTACTTTGTCTGGAAAGAAAAGAAGAACAGGAAATGCACTTTTGACATCGAGTTTCAGAAAAACTCAGTGCTTTCATATGTTCTTATTACTGAGGGGTCGGACAAGGGAGGTAGAAAGGTCATTTTGGTTTCAGACACTTCATTCTGGCTCAGTCTTTTTATTGAATTGCTGACAGCATTTTATCAAATTCCTCTCTCCATTCAATTTGAAACTTTATGATTTCCATCTTTCTTCTCTTATTTTTGGCCTCTTCCCTGCTTTTGTTCCATATCCTTCAAAACTTTAAGTAATTGTCTTTGGAGTAACAACCTTGCAGGTGGGCAGGCCAGTTACTTACCCTATTAAGGCCATTTTACAGAGAGAAACTAAGGCAAATAAAATGATCCCACAATTAAGAGAGAATTGTTCAAATAAGCCCAATACTCTTTTTCCTCATTTGTGGAGAATTTGCTTTGTAGACTTGAATGCGTGAAAAAGTGGGCTTATAAAAATCATAGCTATATTAGTTAGTGGGTATTTGAACAGAAGTATTGTGGGGGAGAGAAGGGAGGAGGGGCAGTGTAGGTTAGAGGGCCTGAATAGTCTTTCCTGGGAACGGGAGGTATAATTGACATTGTGGGTGGAATTCCAGGGACTGCCCTTTTCCCCACTCTGGTGGCCAGAGAAGGAAGGCAGACCAGCCAAGCATCTTGGGTATAGAATGCCAAGCAGAACACAATGGGAAAATGGACCAAACTAGGAAATAGCACTCATGACCAATAAAATAATATTGGCCATAGCAATTTTTCTCTTAAACAGAGAGGGGAAGGTTTACAATAGGTTCAGAGTACTATTGGGAGAAATTTTAGAAAATGAGTAATGAAGGGAATCAAAAGAAAAGTTCCTTATTTTAGAGACTTCAAAAATATATGTTAGAGAAAAGATAGTTACTTCAACAAATGGTGTTGGGAAAACTGGATCACAAGTAGAAGACTGAAAGTAGACCCCTATCTCTCATCCTATACAAAATCAGTTACAAATGAATCAAGGATCTTAATATAATACCAAAAGCTTTGAACCTACTACAGGAAAATATAGGAATAGCTCTTGAAGATGAAGGTATAGGAAATGCTTCCTGAATAGAACCCCAATTGAACAAGAATTGAAAAATGGATTGTATCAAATTAAAAAGTTTCTGAACAGTAAAGGAAACAACTACTAGAATCAAAAGAAAACCTACAGAATAGAAAATGTTTGCCAGTTATTCATCAGAAAAAGGATTAATACCCAGAATGAATAAAGAGCTCATAAAATTAAACATCAAAAGAACAAAGAACCCAATTAGGAATGGGTAAATAATTTGAACAGTTTTCTAGGAAGAAGTATAAATGGCTAATGAATGCAGGAAGAAATGTTGAGCAGTCTTAGCCATAAAGGAAATGTAAATCAAAACATCATTGAGATTCCCTCTTACCCCAGTTAGAATGGCCATCATGATGAAAACAAACAACAAAAAATGCCAGAAAGGATGCAGGGAAAAAGAAATCCTCATACAGTGTTGGTGGGAATGTGAATTAGTATACCCACTATGGAAGTCAGTATGGAGGCTTTTTAAGAAACTAAATATGGTCTTGTCATATTATCCTACTATACCCTTCTTGGGCATGTATTTGAAGGAATGTAAGTCAACATACAGTCAAGATACCTGTACACCCATGTTTATAGCAGCACTATTCACAATGGGCAAAGTATGGAATCAGCATAGATGTCACAGATGTCCATCAACCAAGGAATGGATAAAGAAAATGTACTATATAAACACAATGGAGTATTACTCAGCCATAAAGAAGAATGAAATCATGTCATTTGCAGGAAAATGGATGAACAGGTGATCTTTATGTTAAGTAAAATAAGCCATACTGAGAAAGACAAATATCACATGTTCTCTCTCATATGTGGAATCTAGTCTTTAAAAATGAATAACAGGAATATAAAATAGGTCCTTTTTGGAGGTGGGTATCAATGGGAGGGAGGGAGGAAGAGGATGAAAGGACAAGGCTTTCAAAGAACAAGGCTGTGTGTGTGAAAAAAAGAATCTACTCCCAGGAAGTGAGCCTGACAGAGACCAGCAAGCCCATGGAGCGCCCTCAGTTCTCAGATTCCCCGCTGCACACAGACTCCCTCACATCTGCACTCTTCACTGTTTCAGTATGACTCTGAACCACATTATTAAAATACTAGTGATGAAAATGGAGACAGTACCTATCCAATGTGGTAAGACTTGCAATAGAGTCGTTTCTGGTAGTCTATTGTGTGACTTGCCCAGGGCTTGGATATTAGGACTTGGCTGCTGTGTTATGGTGTGCCCTTTCCTTTTCCTTCTGACATTGTCCACACCTGAGGGGGATGTTTAAGGATGTTACTGTGTTTGCAACACTGCTTCTGGTCTGTTTCTGTCATTACAGAGGAAACCTGTCTTTATCCGTGCTCCCATTTTGCACGGTATACCTTGAAGTAAGTGTGATTTTTCATGGAAATGCTCACTGGTGTTTTTATGTGTCCTTAGCCTTCAGGCATCCAGACTCAGCTTGGAACTTGCTCTTTCCTTCTGAGGCTGAGCCCATTTTCTCTTTAGCCCAGCTTTCTGGAGGCCAGGGAGTTCACATTGAAATTCATCCAGGAGCCTGTTAACAGCTGTTGTTTCCAGTAGGGACAGGCAACAATATAGTATTCACACAAAGAGAACAATAAATAACTCAAATATGAAATGCCTGCTCTTTTTTTGTTCTACCAAACAAGAAGAATAAACCCAGGGAAGGATTTGCTCTCCCTGAACTCTTTCAGCCCAAGCTAATTTACTACAAGAGAATGAAATATCTTGCTTGAGTTATAATTTCATTAAGGGAGTCCAATAATGTTACAGAAAGAGAGTGAGGCTCAAATGATTTAGTCTGGAGGATCTCAAAATGAAATTACAATTTTTTAATAAAGTAGGGCTACCAGCCAAACATCCACAAAAATATACTAAACTATTTCAGAGCTCACCTTAGCAAAATTATGAAATATTTAAAGATTAGTTTAGATCCATCAGTTTTCACTTTCTGCTATTACTAGGTTTATCAAATAAAAATACAGGATACTCTGTTAAAATTGAATTTTAGATAAACAACAGACTTTAAAAAAAAGCATACATACATCCTCAATATTGTGTGAGGCATATATAAGCAGAGATAATTATTTATTGTTTTTCTGAAATTCATGTTTAAGGCAAAGAACTTGAGTAGACACTTCTCTAATTACAACATACTAATTGCCAATAAGCTCACGAAATGTTGCTCAACACGACTACTCATTGGGAAAATGCCATGAAAACCACAATGAAATGCCATTTCCTATCCATGAGGGTAGCTGTAATAAGCAAATCAGAAAATAATATGTTGGTGAAGATATGGAGGAAAGGAGAGCCCTTGTGCACTGCCGGTGGGAACAGAAAATGACGAAGCTGCTATAGAACCAATAGTTTCACTTACACATCCAAAGATCAGAAACGCAAAGAGATATTTGGACCCATATTCAGAGTGGTATTATTCACAGCAGCCTAGAGATGGAAGCAGCTCAAGTGTCCATCAACAGATGAATTGATTAACAAAATGTGGTATGCCCACACAATGGAATACTAATTAGCCTTAAAAAAGAAGGAAATCTTGGCATTTGCAATGATATGGTTGAAAAGGGAGGAGCTTATGCTAAGTGAAACATGTCAGACACAGACAGACAGATACTGTATCCCCTCACTTACATGTGCAACCTAAAAAGACTAATTCAGAGTGGATATAGTGTAGTGATTGTCAGGGCAGGAGAAGTCGAGGCAAAGTGAGATGTTAGACAAAGGGTTGAAAATTTCAATTATAAGATGACTAAATTCCATCAATCTAATGCACAGCATGGTAGTTATTAATAAGGTATTGAGTCCTTAAAATTTGATAAGAGCAGGTTTTTTGCACTTAATTCATGCATGCGTGCAAGCACACAATGGTAGCTATGAGTAATGATGGATGTGTTAATTTGATTGTGGTAATTACTACACAATATGTACATATATCAAACCATCATATTATATGCTTTGAACATATAGGAAACTTTTATTTCCTTTAGATTTTAGATTTCATAGGCCAGCTTAAACAAACCAACCAAAGAAAATAGGAAACCAAGAGTTACTAACACTTATTTTCTAAGGAGCACAGCTGGAATTCCAACTAGTGTCTACTATCACTATGGCTTTATAAAAGAGAAATATTTTAATGCTGGAGGTTCACAACATCTGTGTGAGAAAGTGTGTATCCCATTAGAATATTCTAAGAAAAAGGAGTGAGCAATTACATTTTTTAATACAGAAAACTACAACACAAATTACTCCATGCCGATGCCTTTCTTTCTCCATTGGCTTCTTCATGCACATTTGTCTGTTCAGTGTCTTTATGCAATTGGTTCAATGTTAGTGGAATTCCAGTACTCAACTAACTTTGTGTTTTTGTTTCTCACAGACATCTTTGGAAATTCTGGTTTCTTCCAGATTGCTGATGTAAAAGATGGAAGCCATGTTTTACTCGACCCAATTCTGGCATGCTGAGAGAAGCTGATTGAATTCCCCACATGTCTCATTGGCTCTCCCAACTCTGAGTATAAAGCCTAGCAGAAGATTGGCGACAGGCCGGGTGCTTCTCTATAGAGAAGTCTGGAAGGCCAGAGTGGGACTTCCTGCTCTCCAGCCATTCTTTGGCTTCTCGGTTTAAGCCCAGCTTTTTTGCTGTGAACCAGTTGGAATGATCTGGGAGAGATGTGTCTGCCTTGTTGGTTTTGTGGTAGGAGTCAAGAGCATTTTAGGAAAGGTCTGGCACCGTTAGTCACACCACAACGCTGTATTTACTAAATGTTTCAGGACATTTGCATTACAGACTTATTACTGAGGAGAATAAGTGGTTTTGCCCTTAAAGAGCTGTAATGTTCTTTTTGAGTGTGTGGGGAGCGTTCCTTTCCTGGAACACATGACATCAGGTAGAAGAGGGAGCTGCAAGAGGTTCCAGAGTTGTTATGGTGGTGAGTCATGACAGCTTAAGAAAATACTAGGCTGTCAAGGGCTAAGCGATACTTATATGGAATTAACTTTTAGGCATTTTAAGATTTCCTCATCACCTTTTAATTATTCGTTTATTTATTTTTGTGTACTAGGGTTAAACCAGGGCTTTGCACTTGCTAGGTGACCTGAGCCATGCTCTCTTCATAATGATGGAATTAAAATCTCCCAAATCAAGAGTTTACTTATGGTTCTTGTTAGCATTTTGGGATTAATATCTTTGCATATGAAAACTGTGGATTATTTACCCTGCAAAATACAATGTGGATCTACTAACAATTTGTAATTTGATATCAGGGACTGATTATCCCTAAGGGGAATGTAAGAATGTCTTCATGTAAAATATTATGTTAAGAAACCTGTGGTTGAAGTTACAGTGTACACATTGATCTTTGCAAATGATAATTAACTGCAGATATTGAAGACACTTGGTTACTCGTAATGAGTTAACCTGAGTAAATTAGTGGTGGCCTGACTTTGTTCTCTTTGATGTACTATTCCAGGTAAAGAACTCAGACACTATCCTAAAGTGAAATAACCACCAGGCTTATCTGGGTCACGGGCATGTCCACATTCCCAGCTCTGGTTGTCCTCCTTGGGAGCAAAGTAACGTTAAGGAGCTTCTTCTTTTCTTTTTTTTCTTTCTAGAGGGAAAGTTTCTACTGGAAGTGACAAAACTTTTCTACTCATCCCCTTCCTTCCCTTTTCCTTTGCCAAATGTTAACTTCCTGTTTAAGCTGTCATGTATTTTAAAACCAGGAAAACAGCATTTTCCCTGTTACTGAGACCACAAGAGAACATGTAATGAATAAAATTCCATTGTGTAATTTACTCAGCCATGAAGAAAGAATGATCATTATCATTTGCAGGTAAATGGATGGAATTGGAGAACATCATTCTGAGTGAGGTTAGCCGGCAGAACACCAAAATGGTATGTTTTCCCTCATATGTGCTTTAGATCTAGAGTAAGTGCAGCAATGTGTTGGACTTGGGTCACATGAAAGGGGAGAGTGTATACGGGAGATATGGGGAGAGGTAAAAACCCAAAACAATGAAAGCGTTTGATGTCCCCACTGCAGAGGAACTAATACAGAAACTTAAAGCAACAGAGTTAACTGAGAAGGGGACAGGAACAGTGTAAAGTCAGTTAGAGGATGATCAACTTGGTTGTAACAATTTTCTACATGGAAGCATTGGTAGGCATCTCTTTGTAATAGTATCCAACTCAACTAGCAAAATGCCTTTGTCTTCCTTATTACGCTTAATGTCTTCTCTTCAACAAAATTAGAGATAAGAGCATAATAGGTTTGCCTGAAGCAAGGGGGAGGGGAGAGAGGGGAAATGACCCAACAATGACGCACATTGAATAAATGACTAATAAAAATTAAAAAAAAGACATATAATGAATAATTATGATCAAGGGCTTAATTTTGAGCAAGTTAATATTTAGTAGAAGATTATATGGGTTTTCTCCAGAAATAGCCAATGCAATATATTCATAACAGAAGTTATCAAGATATTAAAACTCAGGAAATAGGCTTGCTAAGGAATATACCTATGCAAAAGGAAAGCCAGTTTCTACTCTGCCTTCCAAATCCAAGACATGATTTGACCCACTGAGCAGAATAGGGTTCAGTAATTTTCAATTTTGTCTTGCACTTTCTATTTAGAAGAATGGAAAATATAAATATACATATTGTGTTTACGTTGTGAGCGAGAGCATGTGAGCACATTGGTCCAGAGTCTACACTGCGTCCAAGAGAGAGCAGGAAGGAAGGGTCACTAGCAAGTTAGCTCACTTCTAGCCATGATGAAAAGCTGGAATTTGACTAGCTTTCTCATTGCAAAATAGTAAAATGGGACAAAATGTCGAGAGCCACTGTTTCAGAGACTGGAAAATCAGCAGTGGGCTGTCTTTGAGAAAGGGAAATTATGAGATGAATCCACAGTTACTATGCTTCCTGCCTGGAAGCAATTTTTAGTAGTAGAACAGGAAGGGTCACTAGCAAGTTAGCTCACTTCTAGCCATGATGAAATAGCTGGAATTTGACTAGCTTTCTCATTGCAAAAATAGTAAAATGGGACAAAATGTCGAGAGCCACTGTTTTCAGAGACTGGAAAATCAGCAGTGGGCTGTCTTTGAGAAAAGGGAAACTTATGAGATGAATCCCACAGTTACTATGCTTCCTGCCTGGAAGCAATTTTTAGTAGTAGAACCATGGACCCTAAGAAGAACACTGCAATGCTGACAAGTAGAAAAGGCAAAAATGAATGTCTGAGCCTTGGAGGCCAGTAGAATTTGAGGGCAGAAGGCTGCATATAGAGGGAAGGGGCTCCAGAGGTCTCTGGAATTCTCTGACATCTTTGGTTAAGGCTGAGATGAACATGAGCAAAGGGAGAGCCTGAATCTGGCAGGTAGCAGCTTCTGGGGGCCTGAAGGCTAGATGAAGACTTGGGAGGCTGCAGAGTCTGAAGGACCGGTGTTTCAACTCACTGAAGAGCTTTTGTTCAGTTATCTTAGAAAGGCCATGTTTAGGACTAGGGGTACTTGGAGTAATGAGTTCTGAATATGACCCAACAAAGACTAAAACATCTTTGAAATAATCAAGCTAATTGGCTAATAATAAATGGTTTATTAGAAGAAAAATTAAGAAACACTGCAAAATTTAGATTTTCAGTAACATAGTATCCTCACATGTCCACAGGATAACAATAATAACAACATAGCCAGACATGGAAAGAAGCAGGGATAGATCTCTATAGTCTATCATGAATTTCTTCCTTTGTTCATGAGGCAGTAGCCTGAATAGTTAAAAGATGTGAAGCTAAAAGATTCCATGACATTGAAATGACCAGATCAGGACTTTAAAGAGAGGTTATAAATACTTTAAGAATTTAAAGGAAAATGTGGACTTAATGAATGAGTGGATGGGGCATCCTGGTAGGAAAATGAAAACTCTAAAAAGGAAAAAAAGGAAATAATAGAAATTCTGAAGCTGAAAAATCTACTATTCGTAAAATGAAAAACTCACTTGATGGATTTATAAGTACATATAGGTCTCACAGATCTAAGTAGAATAAACCCAAAGAAATAGTATCCATGCATATCATAGTCAAATTGCTGAAAACAAAAGATAAAAAAATTCCACAGTAGCCAGAGATATAAACCACTTTGCATACAGAGCAACTATTATGAGAATGATAAAGCACATGTCTAAATTTCACTAAACAACTATTAACTCTTTAAGGACACAATAATGACAATGTATCACAATAAGATACCAATGTACACCAATTGGAAAAGCTAAAATTAAATAGACTGAAATGCTAAAAGTGGGAAAAGAATCAGAGAAAAATCAGAACTCATATTTAGTATAACTTTAGAAAATTTTTGAAAATGTTTTGGCTCTTAAATATACCTGTCCTATGAACTACCAACTCCATTTCTTGGATATCCAAGATAAATGAAATATATGCCTGCAAAAAGACTTGCACAAGGATATTTGTAGATACTTTATTCAACACAGCTCTAAACTAGAAATATCCCAAGTGCCCAAAAATGGAATGGATTAATGAATTGTGTACATTTATATAACGGAATAGTGTAAAGCAAGAAAAAAAAGAACGAAAAAGATTAAACTATCACAATACATTATGTTATGAATGGATCTCAAAAGCATTATGTGGGTAAAAAAATCTAGTCACTAAAGAGAATGTGCTATGCATTTGAATTTATAAGAAGTTTCAGATCAGGCAAAATTGCTTCATGGTGAAAGAAAAGCATTACCTCATAAAATCACTATTTCAGAAAACTTCATGGTAAGAGAAATCAGAGTGGTGTCTTTCAGGGAAGTCTAGGGGTGGCTGGGAAGAGACCGTATTTAGAGAGGATATGAGCTACATATGTGAATGCATTTGTCATTGAACTGTAACTCACACAGTTTTTACATTTCATATTATGTAGCTTGTACTTTATTTCTAAAATATTACAAAGCAAAAAACATGACTAGAGAAGAAAGTAAATGATGGGAATCAAGTTTCAAAGTATTGTTTAATCTAGAGAAGGGAAAATAGAGGAAGGAAAGAGGTATTATTTGCTCTATAGAGAAGAAAATTCAGAATGAGAGATATTAAAAGAAGTGTTTACCAGAAAGAATAAATTGTCTATTCACTTTATGCCTCTACTTAACAAGACTTAGATTTTACTTTTATTTTCTGCTTATTGTGTAGATATGAAAGCTTAGATATTAGAAATGCTTAGACATTCAACAAGAAAGATCACAACCTCACATATAAAGCCTTTGGAATGATCCGCAGGTTCATATCAAGGCAACTGTGTGAAAGTACCACAAAATGAGAGGTTATTCATGAAAGCAGAAATGAGAGTTCTAGAAAGTAAAAAACTGAGATCAGAATTATGAAGCTTAGGCCCAATCACTCCTGTCTCAGCAGCCCAAAGACTCAGTTTACTCACAAACATGATTTTAAGAACCTTGAAAACATTGCATTTTCTGGAACCTACATTTTGTGGGTGAAAAAACTGTGTTGGGTATTAACAATTTTTATCAAGTAGGATACAATTAAAAAAAAAACCTTTGGTAGATAAGTTTGTTAGTTACCTAGAAAACCCATTCATATGAAATAACACATGTGCTTATAATTTTAAAGAAAAATGATAATTGCTAAAATATCTAAGAATTTGATCTTACACTCTGCCTTCTAAAAGCACTAAATATTGTATAGGATGAGCTATTTAAAAAAATACATAAACTGAGCACTTTGGTCCTGCCCTTATTTCGAACATTGAAAGTAAGGTTTTGTACTTTGTATCTTCCCCTTTTGTAGGCCACATGCATTTCAACATCCAGTGCAGCTATTTGAACAATTACGTAACTGGGAAAGAAGGGTGACAGTTGGATGCCACAGAACTCTGTTGGTGCCCTTGGGCTACAATACTTCAGCCTCTTTTGTAAGTTCCTTCTTATGTTTTCCTTTGGCCAAAACCACTCTGACAGATGGCTCCCTCCAGCTCGACCCACTTTCTTTCATAACTGCATTTCTAATTGCACATAGGTATGTCTTTACATGGATGTGGCTTCTATGTAACACAAATAAATCAGTAAGAACAGGTGGGCTACCCTGGGAGCAGGGAAATAACCTTCATGCAGACATTGTGGGTTAAAGGCAAAAGACTTGTCTCACCACTTTCAGGAACATGGATTTTAAAACCCTGTTTTCAAGGCTCCTATCCTATAAAGCAATTCAGTCAATTTTTAAAAGACTAGGTCAGAATTGGGTTTTGCAAAGCACAAGAAGGTTTCATTCTTTGGTGACCAAAGGGTTTGAAGCTCTTTACAACAAATTCAGAGATGGATAAAAACTCATGGGTTTAGTCCTGAAAGCATCTAATTAACAGGAGGCCAGCCTGCAGAATTAGTTACCACTCCACTGTTATGGGCTCAACTGTCCCCCTGTCCCCCAGAATTCACATGCTGAAGTCCTAACTCCCAGTCCCTCAGAATGTGACTGTATTTGGAGAGAGGGTAAAAATGACATCACTGTTGTGGACTCTCATTCTATCTAACTGTTGTCCTTATAAGAAGAGGAGATTAGGATATAGGACATGCATGAAGGGCAACAATGTGAGGACACAGGGAGAAGGCAGCTATCTAGGGGCCAAGGAGAGAGGCTTGGGGAAAACAACCCTGGTACACTTGATTTCAGACTCCAACCTCTTTCTTATTTAAGTAGTCTGATCTGTGGTACTCTGTTATGGCAGCCTTAGAAAGCTAGTACATTCATTCTACAGACATTTATCGACTGCAAATATTTGCATAGCTAAATACATGATTTCAGACTCCAATGCAACTTTGCCTTCTTCAGAGGGCATCTTTTAGAGAGTGACCGATTGACTGAGACTTAACAGCTGACAGTTATGCCTGCTGTTTACAAAACACTAGAAGTCTTTGAACCCAGGAAGTGTCTGGTAGAAGTGACTGTGGGTTAACCACTCAGGAGAGGAAAGAGAAATCCAAGCAGGAGAAACAACATCCTCTGAATAGTGAGGCAGAATATCAGTTTAAGCTTCCAAAATCAAGTAACTCTGAGAAGGAAAAGAGAAGAAGAAGAAGAAAAAGAAGAAGGACAGAGAGAGAGAGAGAGAGAGAGAGAGAGAGAGATATTCATTCTACACTTGTCCTGTGGGATAACCAATATTTGAAGAAGGGACATAGATGACCCATTAATTATGTCCAAGCTGACATTGAAAACTTTGATAATTAAACAAAGAAACTCTTATGTGTCCTTTTCTCTCAGATGGGCTCACAACTGAGTGAGATTATAAATTTTAATCTGGACTAGATGGAGTTTCATAAATTGAAACAATGAGTAGAAAGTTACTGATTCCATCTGAGAGCCAGAAGGATAAAGAAAGGGGGAGGGAGGATGAAAGAGAATGTGGTTAAAAGGAGAAAGTGGAAAGAAAAAAATCCTTGTTCCATATGTATATTCAGAGTTGAAACTCAGAATGAGTCAGCAACACTGCCTTCTGAGGAAGAATCCACTGCGTACTGCCTGGTTCCTGGGGTCCTCACCCCAGCAAGTTGACCCAGCTTCCCAGTCTCTCACCCTGGTGGTTATGTGCTATTCCTTCTATGCAGAGGTTGAAAGTGAGTAGAGAGTGGGAGCTCTTTTTATTCTTTGACATCCTGAGTGTTCAGGAAATATACAACTCCTCAATTTCTTTTCAATTTCCCCAAACTCCTAGGAAGCAACGAATGCATGTCAAAGTTGTGGGTAACTTCTGGCGGTGACAAGAGCTATTAGTAACCATGAATGCAATCACAGACATTAGAAGCATGACTGTTGAATAGTGGTGTGGCAAAATCTAGAAACTTTCATGGTTTCATTTCTGAGGCATCTTGTTCTCCTCCTCGACAGCTTCCCCTCATAGCATATTCCTGGGTCAATACTGGGGCACACTACAGGTAGGTTTTGGACTAGATTATTACTTCGATGCTATCCACAAGTCTCCAAGACCACACAGACATTCTTGGCTTGACGTATTATCACTTCCTTTCAGCTAACTCTGGTTTATTTTTGGAACTAGGGAAAAAAGCTTAAATACAAACAAGCACATACTGTTCCATGTGCTCTTCCAGATGTGAACAGTGGGCACAGATACAGATGGTCTGACAAATGATTGACAGGGGAAGGTGAATCTTTGCAGGAAAGTATATTTATATTAGGAAAAAGTTCTAAAGGTGTATGTTCACACTTCACTTAGTCTCATAGCTTTCTAAATGATCTGCCAAGGCATTCTGGGACTTTGCAAAGTTCTAAACAATTTCCTCATTTTATACTGGGAATGGATGCTTTTAGAAAGTGCATGATATCCTTGTCTGCATTTGTGTTTAGCATCCTCGGTGAACTTCACTGCTGAAACAAAGGTCATGCTGGACAACTTGGGGTGATGGAGCCTGGTGTAGCAGCCATAATCCTGGATATGACTGTGTCTCGCTTTTTCTGCTTGGGGCATCTGAAAGGCTCACAACAGTGAGAGCTGGTGTGATGGGAGAGAAGGTCAGAGATCGGCTGCTCTACTCTTTCAGACCTTGCACCAGACAAGAGACAGAGCAGCTTCTTTGGAGATTTTCCTCCATTAAAACCAAAAGACAGAGGCTATCCAGAGTTCTCCTTCAGCAATTGCCTCTTGAATCTACAGCTTGCTGAGAAATTGGCCTTCTGAAATTATCTAGGCAGTTAAGAAAGTTTTTATACAGCTGTGGTATATTTTTCATATTAGGAAATAAGACATGTTCTTTTTTTGAATTTAACTCTATATCCAAGTGCCAACTCTCATACACTGAAATAAGGACAGTTTCCCTCATGGTACTCTCATTTTGGAAGTTATAGAAGTTGTTCCTTGTCCTATTTTTTTCCTGCAGTGCTGGAGATGGAACCCTGGCCACTTGGATGATAGGAAAGAGCTCTACCACTGAGCTATGCTGCAGCCCCCTTGTCCTAATTTTATGTTTCTGTAGGAAATTTCTCAGGTGTTCTCTTTCTTTGAGCTCTATATTTGTTGGTTCTTTTCTAGACCTGGGACAAAGTTACTGTCAGTTCTGAAAGATCTGACCTTTTAGAACAACTTTAAATCTCATGGTTTCATTGTGTTCATCTCTGCCACCATCTAGTAATTTTTTTGGGGGACCATTTGCTGGTGCTGAAGGGCTCTTGGAAAGAGATAGCAGGTGGCCAAGGCCCAAGAGATTGTGGAGGATTTGGAGATGGGATCAAGAGACTTCATTGCTCACTTGGCTCTGAGAATTAGTCAATGCGTGAGAAAGTCTAAGAGACAGCTAGACTGTGATTCTACCAGGGAATTCTATTAGTTAATCAGCTTGGAGCTTGAAGTTCTTATGAAATACAAATTGAACTATATAGAGCTGCATAGGTACCATAAGGAACACAGTTAGTGAAGCACTGCTATAAGAAGAAGGATCGTATTCCACATAATCAGTGTTAATCCTACAATGACTCCTTTTCTGAAATTTCTTGTCCCTATTGGCATGTTGTTCCCAAAGTCTTCATTTAATATGTTGATTCTCTAGCCTTCCCTTTGTCTTTTCTTTGAAGACACATTATACTAAAATCCATTTGCTAATTTACACTTTTACATGCTGCTTTCATTTCATGAAAATGTTGCTCTAACTAGTTTTCTCTGGACAGGCACTTCCTGCCTTTCCTCTGCTAGAAATTTCAACCCTATCACCTATGTCCACACATGGACAGCTTCATTGGCACCCGGTATCTGATCTGAGGTTCATTTGGGTTTTTAAGCAGTGCATTGAGCATTGATATATCTGAGATATTGTTGTTTGAGACATGCTACACAGCATGGTAGAATTCAAATTATGAACTGCATCTGCTGTCTGTCCCTTTACAACCCTTTCGTTCTCCTTCTCTTGCACTGTAATAGTGCAGCATGGGCACATTTCCAAACTTGTAGGAGTCTGCTCATCTCTTATCTTGGATGGTGGCCAGTGTGGGTGCTATTTTAAGTTTTCTTTAATGTGCACAATGTCTCTTTTTATTTTAAGGAGGACACATTTCCTCACTTGGCTGTGGATTTTGGATTGTGATTTCATAGTGACATTGAGGTTGTGGTTCACAGTGCTGTTGAGTAAAGCAGCATTGTCCCTAGTTTACTCAGCAAGGACAGGGGGCAGTCTGCCCCAGCATGCCTTCATCTGTCCCAGTTTGTCCTGTCGTTCTGGTGTGATCCTTAATAGCATCACTTCAACTTACAAGTGTCCCAGTTTGGCAGATAAAGTATAAGGTCACCCTACTTATGAATAAAGCTCTCATTTGAAGGGACATAGCCTGAAGGCAACTGTATGTCCTCTTTAATCCCGGACTCCCTTCTCATTCTAAAGTCAAATTCTTCAATTCTTACTAGACATTTTATCTGATTGTTAGATAGACATTTCTAAGTTCATCTCTCAAAACTGAGTGAGTGTCTTTAGTATGCCCAGCCTGTCTATGACCTATTTAATACCATGTACTCAGGATCCAAATTAGAAGACCTTGAGTCACTTCCACTTATCCATTTTCCTCACTCCATGTGTTAAATGGGTTACCCAGTTCTCTTGACCATAGTTTCCAGTTATTTCTCAGTTCTGTATCTGGCTATCACCACATAAACCTTATGTGGATTTTTGCAATAATCTCTTATGAATTATGTTTATCACTTGTTGTGCAAATCACTTTTCTTGAATGGAGGTTATGAAGAGGTGCAGGAGGTAAGAGACACTATGGAGACCTTGGGGTTACAAATAGATTCCTATGGCTGCAGGGAGGAGTCAAAGGTACGTAACAGCTGGAGAAGAAGCAGAGCCAAGCCCAGTAGGGCCCCATTTGCTTCATAATATTGCTGAGACTGCCCTTGAAGGTCTCAGGGAGCCATCAGAAGGTTAAAGCACAGGCTGATGGTAAGGAGATTTACATTCTGCAAAGACCATTGCATGAACTTCAAAGGGGAGGGAGCACATGTGGATGAAGGAATTCCCTCTGCTGGGGAGACGGATATACATGGATGAAGGAACTATCTACGCACACACAGACCTTTCTATTCTTCAAGCTTGATCTGTCATTTTTTTTTCAATTTTCTTTTCCTCCTTCTTCCTTCCTTCCTTCCTTCCTTCCTTCCTTCCTTCCTTCCTTCCTTCCTCCTCCCTCCCTCCCTCCTCTCTCCTTTTTTTCTTCATGGTATTAGGCTCTCACACTTGCTAAGCAGGCACTCCACCACTTGAATCACTCTGCCAGCCACTTATTTTTAAGATAGGGTCTTGATTTATGCCTGGGAAATCCTGGACTGGGATCCTCCCATTCGTGCTTCTTCTTATAGCTGGAATGACATGTGAATGCCACAGCACCCAGGCGTTGGTTGAAATAGGATCTCATGAACTTTTCCCTAGGCTGGCTTCAATTTGAGTTACTGCATCCAGATCTGAGCTCTTCTCTTTAACTCTCTGTTCAGAGATCTCCCATGACTGTCTTGAAGTAAAGCCTAATGTAGATTTCAAGCTCATGGAGAGTGAGTGAGTGACTGAGTGAGTGAGTGGCCTTGGCCATCTTCCACAAATGTCCTATACCTGAAACTCTCTGATGGTCCTGAATGTACATCATTGAAAGTCTTCACTTTGTAAATTTTCTGGTTTGGTAAGAGAACAGCTAGGTTGTGATGCACCTGAAGTCTTTTCTAACCCTGCCTCATCCTCTGATTTTCTAAAACACTTCCCACACATCACACTTGACAGTTACCATGTGTCTCTAGAAGAGCCAGAGAGTTTGCTAGCTGTATCATCCCTCCCTGGGGATAAAGGCCTGAGCTTTGCTGGCAATTTGGCTGCTCAGGAAGTTCTAAGTCCTAATTCATCTACAAGCTGTAAGAAGCTGTCCTGTCTGCTGACCTTCTTAAATCCCAGTTTCCTTATCTGTAAAGTACAGACCACCACTGCCACTACCACCACCACCATCTTTGTTAATATCATGGGGTTGTCATGAGAATTAGCTGAGATGAGGGTGTGAAATGCTACACAGTGTCTTGTGTATGACATGTTGCCAGTCATCAGCTTTAAATGATTATGAAGTCTGACTTATAGGATGCAATAACTCTCTTCTTTACTAGGCTTTCTGAAGATATTTTTGACACTTGCATTCTTGAAGGCAATTGCATCTGGTGTTTCTTTTTATCTCATTTTCTAGTATTAGTTTTATTAAGATACTGAACTGAATTAATTTGAAAACTAGAAATAAGATATAAAACCTCCAAGCAGGTCACTCTGTCCTCTGTTGACTTCAGTTAGTCACATTGTCAACACTAAGTCCATGTTCTTCTTCAACACTGTTAAAAATTTGGTTAATTTCTCATCTCTTAGATAGATCAGATACCCTAATAATTGAAAATGGAACAGAGATCCCAGAAGTAATTTTATAGAGAGCAGGTCAAAGTGTTAGTACCTGAATTTGTGAGTCTAAATTGAATTATTTTCCTTTAGAATTGAGCTTCTGGCTAATGTATGAAAATGATATTTATTGTTTTTAACCTCCCTAATAGACTGGTTTATTCATGCAGACTGTCTCAGGCCAGGTGTCACTAAATTATCCTTCCCAAGACTGACCAGAACATGACCGCAAGATCAAAGCAGTCTTTGCGGTACCTGTTTGTGTAATGATTCATAGCAGTCACATGTCATGGGGCATATGAATTGACAAACAGCCCTACAGGGTGTGAGATGGCCCCTTGTTCCTTGCCCCACTCTCCTCTCTCTCATCTGCAACACATGTCTTTCTTTAAGTCTGTCTGTTGTAACTTTGGGCCATTTGAATAAAGGGTGGAAATCACCTGTCATTCACTCATTCTACCATTTATTCAACCCAGATTTTCCAGGCACTTACCATGTCCCAGTGTCTAAGAATATATCCCAGAATTCTCTGTTCTTGCTTATTTCCTCCACAGCCTTCATCAAACCTTCAGCACTAACCATTACCCTTGTTTGGTAAATACCTATCTCTCCCAGCTACAATTCAGGTGTCATGGGACAGAGTTCTATCTGCCTTGGCTATAAATGCTGAATCCCCAGGGTCCAAGATGTGGTCTGACACAGAGCAAGTGTGCAGAAATATTTTTTGAAATACTAAACAAGTGTTGCTCAAGATAATCTAACCTTTCAAATAGTGCAGGGTTGTAAAGGAAGCAAATATTTCTTGGTCCAGCCTGCTCCCTCTTGCTTTGTGCCAACTCTTCTCTTTGAGATAAAGTTCTCATCACTTTCTCCCTAGGGTGCCAACGAGGAGTCCCTCCATAAGATTCCCAACCTTATGATCCAGATAAACCTTCTACGCTTTTCCTGATGTCTTCAGGGACATAGAACATTCTCATTTGCCATT